GCTGAACAGTCAGTTTACTTTTACCGTCTAGAAAGAGATTCAAAGTAAAGAAATCAGTAAATTAAATTCTTTATATGATTATTGGTAGTGTTGGATCAGTTAAAAATGTCATCCTAAACAACATATTTCCTTCAAAACTAATTTTTCCCATTTTTATTTTATTTTAATTATTGTGTGATTTATTTTTCTAGTTGTTTCCCCTAATTTCAATTTTTGTTAATTCAATTGGCTGATCGTGAAAGCCCAAAGATCTGAACAAGCTTAATAGATAATCTTGTTCTACTCTCACAAATTTCAATAACCAATTAGAGACTGCTTTATATACAGCCATGGTTGGATGCTTAGGCACATAAAAATAATCACTGTATACAAGGCCTTCTCTTATTGGTTGACAAATCAAGCTATTTGAAATTTCACAAATGAGATCTTCTATAAAGGTTGTTCAGATCTTTGGGCGTTCACAGCCAAATTTTGTTTAAAAAATATGACGAAAATAAACAATTAAAAGAAGAAAAGCCCAAAATGATTTGAATTTAATCATATTTTACATCAACATACACTCAGTCACAACGATGATTTAAAACAATTATTATAAATGATTATATAAATAATTATACTTGATGAGATAAATGGTAAATCAACTATCTCAATCTGAGTTCAAAATCCAGACTAGTAATAATAACAGAGCATTTTTTTTACCTTTAGCTGTACCATCATTTCCACTCTGTAATGGCTGTACAGTTGTCTTATCATCACCTTTACGCATATTAATATTATAGGCATCACCTCTCACAATGTTTCCACCAACAGAAGTTCCTCCACCCTGTAAAATAAAATCATTAATATTTACCCAGTAAATAGGTAAAATTTAGAACACAGAAATAAATTTCAGTAAATGTTAATATTAACTACCGGTACCACATTTACATGAATTATTCAATGGGTTTTACTTTTGCTATTTTAATAACATACAAAAGCTGCTATATCCATGGCAACATGGAAAATTACAATAGTACTGATTATTTCACTGGCAAATCTGTGAATATGAAGTCAGTGTTCATGTTTAAAAATATTAAATTATTGAAATTGTTTTACGGTGATTCTGAAAATTCATGCAGTACACAGAAAGAAAATATATTATCTACTATCCAAATGTTGACTAACATTAAAATATTTGCTACTAACTAGCAAACTTTAAAACATACATTTCGAGCACTGAAAATTAACTGGTTTACTGTATTAAACTTAATTAATAGCTACAAATTATTCATAAATAATTACCTGTCTGTTAATATTAACAAGACCATCTCCACTTCTACCTGCACCACCTTGACCTTCTAGGGTCAAATTGAAATGAACACCTTTCTCAAGCATAGCAATCAGCTGTTTTAATAGTGGAATGATTTCTTTATTTGATGAAGACGATGGGATATTATCTTCTCCATACACTCCTGTTATAGTCGCATCATAGTCACCAGCCAACATTGCACCATTCGTCAACACAATCTGTCAGGAAACAAACAAAATGGCTGCCATGATATGCATATTTTATAAACAAACACTACTTGCAAATGCCATCAAAAATTTTGAAAAATTTACTCAATTATCTCAGTTTCATGAGTCTTCTTATTAGCAGGAATTAGACAATCAAACTTTTTTCTAAAAGTAAATAAACAAGCAAATAAACAAATACTCAAACAAACAAATGCATAAACAAACACACACACACACAAACAAACAAACAAACAAACAAACAAACAAACAAACAATAAATAAATAAATAAATAAAGTATACACAGAACAGAAATTGTCCCACAATGAGA